TGAATAGTGAATACTTTTGAGTACAATACCTTTTCCAACAATTTCCTTGAGCCACTCAAATGCTTGTTCACAACTAGTGCTCCATATCCATTCTCTCTCTTTTCTGAAGGTTGCCCCAATAGGGATGCACCAGACAGGGTTTGTATAAATATTTGTATGTAAGTGATCAAGCCTAAGAATCCTTGCAGTTCTGTAAGGTTGGATGGTGTTGGCCAAGTTTAAATTTTATTTCTCTTTTGCTTAGAGACTTGTTGTCCAGTGTGAGAAGCCACGTGTCCCACAGTGTCCAAAGCCGGAACACAGCAGGATAATTTCTTACCCAATACTGTGAGACCTGCTTCTTCAACCCTGAACAGTATGGGTTCCAAAGTTATTGCGTGTTCCCGTATAAAAAATCTGATTCCTGTATTTTCTGTGAATACTTGTCCTCTGTAAGTTGATTGTGGTCATTTAATTCCTCTGTCTTCAATAAATACCCCGGAAAATTCTGGGATCTCATCTTGCAGAATCCACATCATTTGAGCCTGGTAAACTGCTACTGAATTTGTTGCGCCTTGAGGAAGCCTAGTGAGTTGAAATTCTCCTAATGGGGTGTCAAAAGTTGTGAGTGGTTGAGATTCTTCAGCTAACTCCCATTGATCATAACCTCCCATGAAGTCACCAAGACCATAGCAAGCCCTCCCTGCAAAGGATTCAATGAATTACTCAGTTGCAGGAGGTAGCCCTGCATCTTTGATGGTTACTTTGTTCATTTCTTGTAAGTCATGTATGATTCATAGTTTTCCATCATGCTTGGCTACACAAAATACTGGACTTGAGTAGCTTGAAGTTGATTGTTTGTATAAACCGGTCCAAAACTGTTCCCATACCAGTTTGGTGTATTCCTCCTTGATTGCTGCTGGGATTGGGATTGGTTTCTTCTGCTGTTATATGTGGTCAACCACTTGGATGACTTAGGGTGAGCCATATGAGTGCTTCAGAAGTCCTCTTTCTGCAGGGCAAAATGCTAATGCTTTTTCTCGTAGCACAATGAGATGTATGAAAAGTTTAATTTCTTCTGGCCATACCCATCCTTCAGGTCCAAATTGTATTACAAACAACTGTTGTGGTGTTCTAAACAGTACAGGCCCCCTCAAGGTCAAATTTTAAATTTCAATTCTCAACTTTTCAATATCCTCAAGCCTCAAGATTCCAACAATATCACCTCAAATCCCCTCTCAGTCCAACATTTCCCTTTTTTATATTTTTCAATATTTTTTTGTTTCCTTTAATTATTTCATTTCCTCTGATTATTTTATCTTCATATTATTTTTCATTCATCTTGATTTTACTTTTATTTTATCATTTCATCATTTTATTATCTTTTTCAAATCACCTACCCAGTAGACAATCTTGTTTAATTTTCTTGGCCCTAAGACATCTTAATATGTTGGTTTATTTCACTCTTGATTATTTTGTTTTGTTTTGTTCTGTTCTGTTCTGTCTTGTTCTCTTCTGTGTTGTGTTGTGTTGTGTTGTGTCACTGCACAAGTTAACAGGGAATGATAACCACACTCCCCCCCCCCCTTTTTGCACTCAATCCAACACTCCCTTCTCTGAAGGGAGTGTTGGACTGAGTGCAAAAAGAGGGGGGGGGGGTGGGGGGGTCTTTCCCTGTGAACTTGTGCAGTGACACAACACAACACAACACAACACACAAGAGAACAAGACAGAACAGAACAAAACACAACAAAACAAAATATGCTTGAGTTCCATATCCCTAGATAATAAGATCTCTGCATTCCACCACGGTGGCGATAATATCAGATCTGCAGGTCTACTGGACGTCGTATTTCACATTTAAATCGCAGTTGACGTAATCTGATGGCATGGGGCTTGTGGGTTTTTTTTGTTTTTTCTATGGGTTTTGTGGGTAAGGTGAATTGGGAGTGAATATGGACTTAAGTCAGGCCACCTTAACTCTTTTTCCTCGGCTCGAGTGCTCACCAACTACTAATATCCCTCATCCCCATCCATCCCGCTCTCTCTCTTTTCTTACCAACCTGACTTGGAGCTCATTCTACTAATCCTCCAGAAGAAGAAAAACAAGAACACCCCAAGCCAACCCACTTCACTTTCTGACTACCATCCGACCTAAGTCATCGATCTCTGTGATCCTATCCCCATCTAATACATATAACCCATTTCCTTCCAGACGAAAAAAACAAACGACCTTTCCGCACCTCGACTCTTTTTTCTTTCCTTTTTTTTTTTTTCTCCCC